AATTCTCCAGAAAGGAAGTTCCTACTATCCCTGTCGGTGACAGCCGGGCCAATCATTTAGCGATAGAGCCCCCGACCCCCAAATCCCTGGGAGACCCTTGTGATGTCCTCCCCTCCCCCAGTCCTGTGTTGGACAGCGGTGGATGTGCTCAGGGGCCTGGTGGCATCGGTCGGGTCCTGTGTCGCTGTACCAGATACCCGAGAAAAGAGAATGCCGGCCCCGTGGGTGTGGCTCAAGGAGGAGAGCACCCGTCCAGGGCCAGCACAGGGCCCCCCAATCCAAATCCCAAACCCAGGGCTTCGGTTGTCAGCGGGGTGATCCTGAGATCTTCGAGGGGCAGGGCCTAGCTTTGGGGGAAAGGCGGTTCTGGTCATTCGCACCGGGCCCTGGTTTGTTCTTGTGAGAGGTGTCATTCAAAGAGTGGCCCTTTATACCCATCAGACCCAGCGACTGGAGGCCGAGATCTGAGGATTACGGTTCAAGGCCAGCCTAGGCAGGAAAGTCCGTGAGATTCGGATCTCCAGTTAATCACACTCACACACACATACACACACACACGCACACACCAGAAGTGGAGCTGTGATTCAAAGTGGTAGAGCAATAGCCTTGAACCAAAAAAAAAAGGGCTCAGAGACAGCGCCCAGGCCCTGAGTTCAAACCCCAGGTTGGGCACAAAAACAGCAAATAAAAGAATGAGTCTGTCTCTGTGTGCTGATAGGCTCTCTCTCTCTCTGTCTCTCTCTGTCTGTCTCTGTCTCTCTGTCTCTGTTGCTGTCTCTGTGTCTGTCTTTCTCTGTCTCTGTCTCTGTCTCTCTGTCTCTGTCTCTTTGTCTCTGTCTCTGTCTGTCTGTCTGTCTGTCTCTGTCTGTCTCTGTCTCTCTCTGTCTTTGTCTGTCTCTTTGTCTCTGTCTGTCTGTCTCTGTCTCTCTCTGTCTTTGTCTGTCTCTTTGTCTCTGTCTGTCTGTCTCTGTCTCTCTCTGTCTCTGTCTATCTCTTTGTCTCTGTCTGTCTGTCTGTCTCTCTCTCAATCCCTGGTGACAATGTACAGCAAAAAAATAATAATAATAAAAGCAAAAATAGCAGTTAGAGTTTTTTCTTTCTCCCTCGTTCCAAGTTGAGCCTGCAGCTCCGGCGGTTTAAACCGAGCGACATAAATACATCTTGTTTTGACTCATCGTTGGGGGACAGATGAGTATGGAACCCCAAGATCTAATTCCACACTCCTTGTTTTTTTAAACCTTCCCCCTCAGCCTCACAGCGGGTGTTAATGCGCCCAGAAAAAACAATGCTGTTGGTGTCGTTGGGAGAAACGCCAGCCATCTCCCCCCGGGCCCAGCACGCGTCTGAAACCTCTGGGCAAAGAGAGAGAGGAGCCGCGCTCACACGCACGTGCACGCGCACAGGCACACGCGCATGCACGTGCACGCGCACGCTCCTCACTTAGCAGCTGTGTGTGTGTGACTGAAAGCCAGGCCTCTGTCAAGGGCTGACATGACAGCGCTGGTTATTTAAAGCAGGGGCGATGGCTCATCGTTCTAATTTCAACGGCTCTACCTTCCAACGAGCTGGAGAGAGGCAGCTGACAGCGCCCAGAGCGTTTGCTCCACTTGAAGGCCTAGATTCACAGCCCCCCCCTCCACATGAAGGCCTAGATTCACAGCACCCCCCCCCTGCTCCACATGAAGGCCTAGATTCACAGCCCTCCCCCCCCCCCTGGGATTGAGGAGAAGAGCAACCAGGTCAGTCTTACCCAGAGAGATGGAGGCAGAGACCGGGGACGGCCTTTGGTCAGTCCTGGGGCTTGAACTCAGGGCCTGGGCGCCATCTCTCAGCTCTTCAGCTCAAGGTGGGCGCTCTACCCCGTGAGCCACAGTGCCACGTCCGGTTTTCTGGTGGTTCATGGGAGATCAGAGTCTCACGGACTTTCCTGCCCCGGCTGGCTTCGAACCTCGATCCTCAGATCTCAGCCTCCTGAGTCGCGGGGCTGACAGGTGTGAGCCGTTCTATTTAATCTGACACCAACGCACAGAGAAACAAGTAGCAGCCGGGCTGGGAGCCCGTCAGATACAGATTCTGTGGACCCGGGGCTGCCCCGTGGTGGGCTGATAGACCGACGGGAGACCTCGGCGGGGGCTGGGGGCGGCCACTTCTACGCCCAGCAAGCGCCGAGCAGATGGAGGCCCGGCCGATTGCGTTCCTGTGGCGTGTTCTGGTTCATTAGGTAGTCTAACCACTTAGGGAGCCTCTCGGCACCCGCTGTCCCCCCCGGGCTGCCCCCTGCTCCCCAGAACAGCTGAAGAGCAGCCAGGAGCCCAGGAGGCCGTGGAGGGGGGGTGGGGTGGACGGTAATCAGCAGCAGGCCTCGGCACCGTGCGGTAAACTGAGGCCGGCAGTCCTGGCTGCGGGCCACGTGGGGGGCAGCGGGAGATTCTCCGACAAGACCACAGCCTTACGTCGCAAACCTGGCGTGGGGGGCGTGGACCAGGCGCGTGGCGGCCTTGCTCGTCCCCCCCCAGGGACCGGCCTGTCTTACAGGATGCCGCCGGAGGCCGCGTTCCTGTGCTGCTGTTGGCCAACAAACTGGATAACGAGAAGGAGCGGGAAGTCCCCCGGGGCCACGGAGAGAAGCTGGCCAAGGTAAGACAGACAGACAGCAAACAAAAAACGCACAGCACTTCCATCTCCCTGGATGCATCAGCCCGGTGGACAGGAAGAGACGAGGAAAGAATTGTGGAGAGCCAAGCATGTAGGGAATTATCCTCACTGTGCGCGTGTGTGTGCGTGTGCACATGCGCGTGCGTGTTCACAGAGGCTGGTCCACCATTCTTAGCATGCTCGCTCTAAATAGGACTCCTAAGGCCAAATCTGGAAAGCGCACAGATGGAAAGTTTCTAGGGGAAAATGAAAGAAAAGGAGCCGGGAGCCAGTGGCTCCCGCCCGTCACCCCAGCTCCTCAGGAGGCTGAGATCTGAGGATCGCAGTTCAAAGCCAGCCCGGGCAGGAAAGTCCATGAGACTCTGATCTCCATTGACTCAGCAAAACAATACAAAAACCCCACAAAAACCAGAGGTGGTGTCCAGGCTCAAGGGGTAGAGCGCTAGCCTTGAGCACAAAGAGGCTCAGGGACAGCGCCCACCACCAACCAAAATAAAAAGCAATTATACATATACACAGAGCGTTCTAGATTTCCAAATACACCAAGATCCAAAGATCTTTGCTGGAATACAGTTAATCTCATTTTCTGCCCCCTCCCTGTCTCTCTCTCTGTGTCTCTGTCTCTCTCTGAATGTCTGTCTGTCTCTCTTGGTGTCAGTACTGGGGCTTGAACTCAGGACTTGAGCACTGCCCCTTACGTTTTGTTGTTGTTGTTGTTGGTTTGTTTTTGTGTTTGTTTTTGCTCAAGGTTGGTGCTCTACCACTTGATCCTCACCTCTGCTTCCCCACTCTGGGTGGTTAATTGGAAATAGGAGCCTCGTGGATATTCAAACCGTGATCCTCAGATCTCAGCCTCCCGAGTAGCTGGGATTGCAGGTGTGAGCCATGAAGGCCCCCCCCATCAGTTCAATCACAGCCCACCACTGGCTTTTCTTTTGGGGGGAAGGAGGGTGCCCACCATTTGGTTCTAAGCCTTCATTTCCCCCCCTTGAAGTCTTTGACCGTCTGATGGGGGCGGCCCTGCGGATGAGGGGAGGTGAGCCAGGCTGGGTGGACCCGAGGAGGAGGCGCCACATCCGCGGGCTGCGATGACAAGCAGGGAGTCGGAATATAGCATTTAATCCTCCCGAGTGACAGCCTCCAGACTGGCCTCGGTCCTCCGGCCTCCGGCCTCGCTCCCTGGAAGGCAGCAGCCTCCAAACACCGCGTCTGACAGCGAGCACCCCGTGCCATCAGTATTGTGGTTTTGAAACACACAGTCTTTTTTTATTCTTTTGGTCAGCCGTGGGGCTTGAACTCAGGGCCTGGACACATCCGATTTTCTGGGGGCTCATGGGAGATCAGAGTCTCACAGGGATTTTCCTGCCCGGGGCTGGCTTTAAACTGCGATCCTCAGATCTCAGCCTCCTGAGTGGTTAGGATGACAGGCGGGAGCTGTTGGCTGCGCTTACCGGAAGTGAGGCTGATGAATGGGGGGGGAGGGCTGGGGCGGAGAGCTGAGACGGGGACACTGCCCGCACCTCTGGCCATAGCCACCCCCCTCTCCTGCGTTTCCTCCGCGTCCTGATCTAGGAGAACGATCTGATCTTCTACGAGTGCAGTGCGTATTCGGGTCACAACGCCACGGAGTCCCTGCTTCACCTGGCCAGGTAGGAGACCCCTCCCCGCTCCCCCCCAAAGGTGAAGAAGGCCACACCCCCAACCCCAGGTCTGCAAGGACCCCTGAACCCTCTACCCCGGCTGAGGCCACGGGAGAGCAGGCCACGGGACGGCAGCCAGGCCACGGCCACGGCCACTGGAGGGCAGGCCACGGCCACGGGAGGGCAGGCCACAGCCACGGGAGGGCAGGCCATGGTCTCAGTCACAGTGCTGAAAGGTCGGGTCACAGAGAGATCGCTTCCTGAGGTCCAAGTTCTTACCTGCTCACACCGAAAGTTCAGGAAACAAGACCACACCTCAGAGCCTTTGCCACTATGGAGGAGCTCATTCGAATGCCAGCCACCCAGGTGGGCGTTGATTCCGTCTATCCGTCCATCCACCCACCCACACGTCCATCCTGGCCCTCACCCATCTACCCATCCATTTATCCACTCAGCCGACCATCCATCCATCCACTCCTTCACCCATCCACCCACCCATCCATCTACCTATCTATCATCCATCCATCCATCCATCTACCCACCCATCATCCATCAAGCCACCCACCCATTATCTATCCACCCATCCACCCACCCATCCAGCATCCATCCATCTACCCATCCATCATCCATCCATCCATCCATCCATCCTCCATCCATCCACCCACCCATCCATCATCCATCCATCCACCCATCCATCCTCCATCCATCCATCCATCCATCCTCCACCCATCCACCCACCCATCCAGCATCCATCCATCTACCCATCCATCATCCATCCATCCATCCACCCATCCATCATCCATCCATCCACCCATCCATCATCCATCCATCCATCCATCCATCCATCTATTCACTCACCCACCTACCCACTCATTTATCCACCCAGTCATCCATCCATCCATCCATCCATCCATCCACCCATCCATCATCCATCCATCATCCATCCATCCATCTACCCATCCATCCATCCATCCACCCATCCATCATCCATCCATCCATCCACCCATCCATCATCCATCCATCCATCAATCCATCTATTCACTCACCCACCTACCCACTCATTTATCCACCCAGTCATCCATCCATCCATCCATCCATCCATTCATCCATCCATCCATCTATTCACTCACCCACCTACCCACTCATTTATCCATCCATCCATCCATCCATCCATCCACTTATCCACTCACCCATCAGCCATTCCATCCATTCACTCACGTATCTACCCACCCATTTATCTACCCAATGATCCATCCATCCATTGATCCACCCATCCACCCATCCATCCAGTCAACCATCTACCCACTTATTTACCCACCCATCCATCCATCCATCCATCCACCATCCGCACATCCATCCACCCATCCACCTATCCATCATCCATCCATCCATCCATCATCCACACATCCATCCACCCATCCACCTATCCATCCATCCATCCATCCAACAAACATCCAAGAGTACCCATGATGCACTGAGTGCGCCTAGGAGGATTCTTTTCCAGTATTTCAACTTGAGAAATTAAAAATCCAGAACCATTGATCAGTTCCTCAACACATAGAGATGATATGTTATGACATATACCATAGGGGAGGTTCTAGACTCTTCTCTTCCGCTGAGGCTTCTGGCAAAGCTCTCTGGCCTTGTTGACAGCTCGAGAGCCTTCACCACACTCCCTTAGTGGGAGATGCCTGGGGGTTACAGCAGGGTTAAGAAGAGACGGTTGCTTGCTTTCTTTCCCTCTCTTTTTTCCCCCTGGTGATCCTGGGGCTTGAACTCAGGACCTGGGCGCCGTAACCTGAGCTCACTCGCTGAAGGCTAGCCCTCTACCAACTGTGAGCCAGGGCTCCACTTGCAGCTGTCTTGTTGTATGCTAGTTCATTGGAGAGAAGAGTCTCTTGGGCTTTCCCTGCGCAGGCTGACTTGGAGCCCCAGTCCTCGGATCCCAGCCGGGACGGCAGGTGTGAGCCCTTCCCCCTCCATAGCGACCCTCCATCCCCTGATCCCTGTCGCTGTGAGGGGCCTGGGCAGGAGGGCTTCCTGGAGGAGGCGTCTGCATTGACTGCACGCTGGCTTGACACTGACACTGACTCACACACACACTCACACACTCACACACACGCACACACACTCACACACACCACACACATACATACACTCACACATACCACACACATACATACACTCACACACACATACACACACTCACACACGCACACTACACACACATACACACTCACACACACATACACACACTCACACACATACACACACACATGCATACCACACACCACACATACCACACACTCACACACACATTCACACACCACACACACACACCACACACACTCACACACACACCACACACACACACACACCACACACTCACACACACACTCACACACCACACACACACACCACACTCAGTCTCACACACACACTCACACTCACACACACACCCCGGGGCCGCCCGGCGGCTGTGTGGGCTCTGCTCTGGCGGCTGGGGGAGGAAGGGGTGCTCGCTGAGCCCCCCCGGCTCTCCCCCCCCAGCGGCCTTTCCCCCCCGCAGGTTCCTCTTGGAGCAGGAAGACTTGGTGAGGGAGGACACCGTGAAAGTTAGCTCCTCCACCAAGAAGAAAACCTGCTGTGGCTGACGTGTGTGTGGGGGGGGGTATCTGCGCCCGCCCCACCCCACCCCGAGCCTCCTGACAAACCCCCCATCTTTGATAACAACCTGACCCCACCCCAGGGGAAAGGAGGGCCATGCATGGGACCCCCCCACACACACATGCGGCATCTTAGAATCGGGTCCTTTCTCCCTTCTCCTCCCCGCCCCACCTCCAGCCTCCTTTCTGGGGTGTGTGGGAGGTGGGGTGGTGGTGGCAGGTGTGTGGTGGGGGGGAGAAACAGATGGACTTCTCCTCTCCACGCCCTTCTCCTCCCTTCCCTCGGGGATCCGGGCGCTGCCGTTGCTACAGCAACCGCATGGGTGGGAGGGGGGGCGTGGCTGGCCGAATCCCAGGGGCCCAAGGTGCCCCCCCCCCGCAGACACGGCCAGGTAGGCCGGGCGGGTGGCGTTGGTCCAGCGTGGTCTACACGCCCCGTGCAGCTGGCGTCAGCCAGGAGACGTGGCGGGTCCTGAGCGGGGTACCCCCTTCCACCCTGAGCCTCAGCGTCACCACGCACGCCGGGTCCCATCGTGGAGCTGGGGGGGGCTCACAAAGAGCACCCACGCTTTTCCCGCTCATCCCCACGGCCACCGGGCCTCCCGCAAGACGGGGTCACCCCCAGAGGACTTCCCACTTGACCGCGGTGATGGGATGAGAAGAAACGGAGGCTAGGAAAAGCCATCTGAACCCCACACCCGTGGCGGCTCCCGCCTGCCATCCCAGCCACTCAGGAGGCGGAGATCGGAGGATCGCGGTTCAAAGCCAGCCCGGGCAGGAAAGACCGTGAGACTCTGATCTCCAAGGAACCACCAGAAAACCGGAAGTGGCGCTGTGGCTCAAGTGGTAGAGCGCCAGCCTTGAGCTGAAGAACTGAGGGACAGCGCCCAGGCCCTGAGTTCAAGACCCATAACTGACAAAAAACCAAAACAACAACAACAGCAAAAACCACAAGAACGAATGTCCAGACATCTTTGCTCATGATTACAACACAATACAAAGCATCTTTGCGCATGATTACTACATAATACGAAGCATTCAAAACCCCCGTGCCTGGGACCGGACAAACACATGGAGGCCATTTGCTACCCGTATCAGACTCTCTCCTCGCACCCTTCCCTTCAGCCCCCCACTCCTGTCCCCAGTCCCCGCTCACGGCTCCCATGTGGATCTAGGGTCCCCAACCAGAAACCCACACCAAACCAAACCAAGCCAACGTTCTAAATATCCCTCAAACGACAGCTCCCCGGAAAACCTGACTGTGGCCATCCGCAGGCCGGCTCCGCACAGACGGGCGCGCAGCCCCCTTGGCGTGGAAGCTGCTGACTTCGTCCCTGGGTCTGATTTTTCCCTCTACCCCGAGAGCCCGTGTCTTGCAGAACGCTCTCAAGGGGCGGGGCGGGGCTGTTTTGCTGGTGGATTGGTCCTCAGTCTGGGCCCGAGAGACCGACCAGGACCCCTAACTCCAGGTGGGTGATAGGTCTCTCTCCCGCTGCTGGCTCTCCAGGCTCGGCTGGCTATTTTTGCTCTAGATGAGGAGAATGGCTGGATATAACGATCACAAAGATCAGCCAGGCACCAGTGGCTCAGGCCCATCATCCCAGCTACTCAGGAGGCTGAGATCTGAGGATCACGGTTCAAAGCCAGCCTGGGCAGGAAAATCCATCAGACTCTTATCTCCAATGAACCACATGAAAACCGGAAGTGGCGCTGTGGCTCAAGTGGTAGAACGCCAGCCCTGAGCTGAAGAGCCGAGGGACAACGCCCAGGCCCCGAGTTCAAGACCCACCACCGACAACAACAAAAAAGTCACAGAGATCTTACAATCCAAGTCCATCTTCCACCTCCTTCCTCTGCCTCGAAAGCAAAGCAGGGTTCCATGCCTAAATAGGGCACACATCAAGTGCAGCCCGATCTCGTTACCTCCTGTACCCACAGCCCGGCCGTGGGGCGAGCCAGAGCATCCCCTCCCCCACAGGTCATAGGTCAGTGTCCACCCTTTTCCGCAGACTGCTCTCTGTCTGATCCCATACTTTACAAAGATCAGAGAGGCCCGATCTCAGGGAGCCCATGGCCTCCCTCGGCCAGCCCCGTGGGGGTCCCCTAGGCCCGCAGAGCCTGCCCCCCGCCACCCTGCCACCCAATGGAGCAGGAAGAAAAGGACCTTCAAGGCCTGGGGTGTGGGGCAGGGACTCTGCTCCCAGGATTTCTCAGCAGCCTCCGTCCCAAAACGAGAGGAGGATGGGCCCTTTGGGGGGGAACCCCAAGAAGTCCGCTGTCCTCAGCCCCCAGGCATGTCAGCCCGGCCCAGAGGCCGGCCCGGTGCCTAGGAGAAACCTCCGGCTCCATTTCCCTGCTCACTGAGCCAAGTTTCCCAAGCACCCTGTGAAACCTCACAGGGGGCAGATCAAGTGCCAAGGGAGTACTGTGTGCAGAGGACTCAGCACAGCCCTACTAGTACCTAGGTGATGCATGCAGAGGACTCAGCACAGGACCAGTACCTAACAGGTGTTAAATAATGCATGCAGAGGACTCAGCACAGGACCTAACATGTTAAAATGCATGTGGAGGACTCAGCACAGTACCTAGCAGGTGTTAAGTGATACAGCAGAGGACTCAGCCCAGTACCTAACAAGTTAAATAATGCATGCAGAGGACTCAGCCCAGTACCAGGTGTTAAGAAACAGGGAGACAGTGCTAAGTTACTGCTAGGTTTATTTGCCTCCCTTTCAGGGAGCACTTCCCCATGGTCTGCCCAGAACAGAGCCTTGTGCCACACAGCCTCATTGAATGGGCCATCTTTCAGCCATGTGCGGGGCTCTGAACCCCCAGCTCCAAGTCTAGATCTGCACTTGAACAAAGAAAACCCAGAGGAGCAAGTACCTTCTAGAACAACGGCAGCCTGCCACACTGGGTCCGAGGGGGCCAACTTTCAGTACCAGACGGGCCTTTATCCAACCTCGCTGAGAGAGGAGTTCGGTTTGGGCTTCTAGGGCCTCATGGCTGGTTCCAATATGTTTACACGTCTGACATCTCACGCACAATCAACGTAAAGTGGCTGCATCTCTCACACCAAGTTCGCCCGGTCTTTTTTTTTGGGGGGGGGGCTGTTGTTTACAAGATCTCCTGGCCACAGCCTTTCTACTTCGCACCCATATGCGCTTCTGAATCTAATGTCGGCGTGTCGTGGACGGCCAATGTCAGATCATCCTTCAAAATCCACTTTTTTAATTCTCCCCGATGACCACCTTCCCGTGAATTCGAACCCGTTGGTGTCGCACGGTCGGTCACGCGGGGTTTGTCTGTGGCTTCCTCCCTTCTTGCTGCCTCCTCCTTCTCGGTTCAATGGATATTTTCGAGTGTGTGTGTCATCACCACGCTCTTAATTTAGTTATTATCTATTTATGATCGTCTCCCCCCACCCCGCTGGTTTCCTTGGAGATTACCATTCATGTCTCAATCTGGAACCATCTGGGCAATAATAATTTTAATGGTATATGAAAACATCGTGTCCATGAAGTTCCTTTCTTCCCCTGCTCTGTGATTTGTTTTTAAATATCTTTTTTCAACTGTCTCAAATTATATCTTTATTCCCTTACATCCCAGCCTCACATGCATCCATAATGATCGCTGTGGGGCCCTCAAAGGAAAAAACACGGAGTTATAAACAAAAATATCATCTCTTGTCTTTAGCCATGGTCACCTGCTTTAGCCCTTCTGATTTAAAGGATCATTTCATCTCAGCCGAAAGCACTTCCTTTAGAATTTCTTGAAGGGGGGGGGATCTGCTGGAGACGAGCGCAGTTTCTACTCACCTGGAAATGTTTTCATTTATTTATTTATTTTTGCCAGACCTGGGCCTTGAACTCAGGGCCTGGGCGCTGTCCCTGAGCTTCTTTGGCTCAAGGCTAGGGCTCTACCATTTGAGCCACAGCACCACTTCCGGCTTTTTCTGTATATGGGGTGCTGAGGAATCGAACCCAGGGCTTCGTGCATGCACCCCTGAGCCGCCTGCCCAGCCCATATTCTTATTGTTTATTGTATTTTTTTCTTGCAGCCTTGAGTTTGAACTCAGGGCCTCACATTTGCTAGGCGAAGGCTCTAACCACTTGAGTCACACACTCAGCTTCTACAGGTGTGTCCCACAGTCCTGGGGCTTGAACTCAGGGCCTGGGCACTGACCCTGAGCTTTTTTTTTCTTACTCCAGGCTGGCGCTCTACCACTTGAGTCACAAAACACAGTCCAGCCGTGTTTTTGGTGGTTCACTGGAAATAAAGAGTCTCACAGACTTTCCTGCCCAGGCTGGCTTTGAACCGCAATCCTCAGATCTCAGCCTCCTGTGTAGATGACAGGTTCACACCTGTAATTCGCCAGTGCCTGGCTCTTATTATTATTGTTGTTGTTGTTGTTATTGATTTAGCGGTGCTGGGGCTTGAACTCAGGCTGCTCCTGCTCACGGTGAAGGTGCCTGACCCCTGACCCCTGAGCCACCCCCAGCCCTGCGTCATTTACCTGATTACTTCGAATGACCCCTCAATCCTCCCCCTCCCCCCAACACTCACCGCAGAGACTCTAATGGCATTGGAAACCGGAAGGCCTTTATTTACCTTTACATTTTAAATTTATTTTGGGCCAGTACTGGGTCTTGAAGTCAGGACGTCACATTTCTCATTTGGCTTTTTTTTTTTAGTTCTCCATTTAAGGCTAGCGCTCTACCCCTTGAGCCACAGCCCCACTTCCAGTTTTCTGGTGGTTCATGGGAGATCAGAGTCTGATGGACTTTCCTACCTGGGCTGGCTTTGAACCGTGATCCTCAGATCTCAGCCTCCTGAGGAGCTGGGATGACACAAACACCCCAGTGAACAAACCAACCAGGAAGGAAAAGATGGAGAGTCAGACAGAGGAAGGAAGGAAGGAAGGAAGGAAGGAAGGAAGGAAGGAAGGAAGGAAGGGAAGGAAGGAAGGAAGGAAGGAGGGAAGGAAGGGAGGGAAGGAAAGAAGGGAAAGAGGAGAGGAGGGGGAAAGGAGGAGAGGAGGGAGAGGAACAGGGGAGGGAAGGGGAGGGAGGGACAGAGGAGTGGAGGAGAGGCTCGGGAGGCTCAGCAAGACCCCGAGGGACCAGCACCCCGGGGACCCCGGCTGCTTCCGGGAACATCTGGGCCGCCAGCCATGGCCAGCTCACCCGTGAGTGTCTCCTGCTTGCTTTGTTCATTGTTCTTACGAAGACGATCACAGACATCTCCTAAAACACCCCCCGTGGGCGCATGGTGGGCCCTGGGCTGGGAAAGACACACAGATGCTCACACATGCGTGAGACACGGAGCCTGGGCCAGGGAGGACAGACAGACAGACGGACAGACACCGAGGAGCGCCCACGGCGCATGCGTGGGCGCAGGTCCCAGGGCCACTGAGCCATCTTCAGGGGCTGGGGTGCTCAGGACCTGGTGGGGGTCCGGCATGCCCCCCACCCACCCACGGGATGGGACCCTGAGCTGCGCGGGTCGGCAGGCCCCACACACAGACCCTTGGCTCCCAAACACACCCCTCTCCCAGCCATTTCCCACACCAGCTCCGAAGCCCCTCCATCCCCCCCCCAGCCGCAGAGCGCAGAGGAGCTGCCCAGGATCCTTTGCGGCCACGGTGTTCTGTTTCCTTTCTGAAGTCAATTTCCAATTTCTAGGGGAAAACAATGGCGACTGGAGGTGGGGGGAGAGGAGGGAGGATTCTAGCTCTTTCCTTGGAGCACTTTGTGCAAATCAATACCCAGGTGGAAATCCTTCTCCATTGTCTCAGAGCCCTGCCGGGAACATCTCCAGCCGGGCCTCTCCCCCCTCCTCTCCCCTCTCCCCCCCTCCTCTCCTCTCCCCCCTCCTCTCTCCTCTCCTCCTCTCCTCTCCCCTCCTCATTTTTCTTGTCTCCGTGCAACACTGGGCCCCAAAGCCATTCCCTGGGTCTTGTGATCTGTCCCAACGTCTCTTCCTTCGTTATTTTTAAATCCCTGAATCTGACGTTTGTGTGCGCAGGCACCCGCAAGTCCTCAGGGGGAAAGATGGTGCCCATCGGATTCCCTTCCATCTCCAGGGCGCCCAGGGACCCAGGAAAGGTGGATGGGATGGTCTGGGGCGATGGGGGGGACCATTCAGCCGCCCTCCTTCCCACTGGATCCCGGGGGGCTGCACGGGAAGGGCACCCCATGCTTATGGAAGGTCCACGGCGGGCATCCGCAGGGGAGATGGTGAGGATGCCCTCCTGCTGTCAAGTGTTGCTGCCATGGCTCAAGACACCGTTCCCCCATTCCCTACCACGGGGGTCCTGAACATCCCCCACCCAAGGCCTGTGTGTCGATTCCTTCCCAAGCCCTGGGCCTTTAGCAGGTTAGGCCTAGTGAGAGGAGGTGAGGCCTTTGGGGGCGTGGCCTAGTGGGGGTTAGGCCCTTGGGGGCGTGGCCTAGCGAGAGGAGGTGAGGCCCTTGGGGGCGTGGCCTAGTGGGGGTTAGGCCCTTGGGGGCGTGGCCTAGTGAGAGGAGGTTAGGCCCTTGGGGGCGTGGCCTAGTGAGAGGAGGTGAGGCCCTTGGGGGCGTGGCCTAGTGGGGGTTAGGCCCTTGGGGGCGTGGCCTAGTGAGAGGAGGTTAGGCCCTTGGGGACGTGGCCTAGTGAGAGGAGGTGAGGCCCTTGGGGGCGTGGCCTAGTGGGGGTTAGGCCCTTTGGGGCGTGGCCTAGTGGGGGTTAGGCCCTTGGGGGCGTGGTCTAGTGGGGGTTAGGCCCTTGGGGGCGTGGCCTAGCGAGAAGAGGTTAGGCCCTTGGGGGCATGGCCTAGTGGGGTTAGGCCCTTGGGGGCATGGCCTAGTGAGAGGAGGTGAGGCCTTTGGGGGCGTGGCCTAGTGAGAGGAGGTTAGGCCCTTGGGGCGTGGCCTAGCGAGAGGAGGTTAGGCCCTTGGGGGCGTGGCCTAGTGGGGGTTAGGCCCTTGGGGGCGTGGCCTAGCGAGAGGAGGTTAGGCCCTTGGGGGCGTGGCCTAGTGGGGGTTAGGCCCTTGGGGGCGTGGCCTAGTGGGGGTTAGGCCCTTGGGGGCATGGCCTAGTGGGGGTTAGGCCCTTGGGGGCGTGGCCTAAGTGAGAGGAAGTTATGTCATTGGGGGGAAGTTAGCTCTTTGGACATGGCCTTGAAGGACCTGTTAAGGCCCCACCCTTCCTGTCTGTCTGTCTGTCTGTGTCTTTCTCTCTTTCTGTCTCTTCTCAGGGCTGCCATGACCTGGGCAGCTTCCTCAGCCATGTGCACCTACCCTGCCAGCCCGAAGATGACGGCCCCCCTGCCCCCCCACGGGGCATGGTGTGCAGCCATTACAGACGAAGCCCTGGCTCCCTCCCCAGCTGACTGCCCAAGACTTCCACCTGCTCCTTCTCTCCTGATATTCCCAGGAAGGCCAGCCCTCCCCCTGCTTTCCCTGGGTTGGGGTGGGGTGGAGAGGGACCCTCGAGGCTACCAACCACAAAGCCCAGCTCTCATTCTGGAACTTTCCATCAGCTCCTGCTCTCCCCCCCCCCCAGCCTATCCCCTCAGGCGTCTGCAGGAAAGGAGTTTCTAGGACAGCCCTGACTCTTCCTCTTCTTCTTCAAGGCAGCCAGCAAGCCCCAGCAAGAGGGGGGCCTGTGGGAACTTGTACTGCCCCCCTCCACCCCAACTTTCCACTCCACAGCCCCAGAGAACACTGAGACGTCCGGACGTTTCCATCTCTTTGTGTTTATTGAGCGCCCATGGAGTCCCACCCCACGGAGCCAGCGCCCAGGGTTCAGAGCCATGGTCTCTTTCCAGAGACCAGAGCGAGTAGAATACAGAGAAAGTTCCAGAGCTTTTGCGTTGACAAGTCTGTGAGGGCCTGGGGGGTGGGGGAGGGGAAAGCTAGTCACAAAACAAGTTCCTATTCGAAAGCAACAGGGTCTCCTCCCGAGGGCGGTACGCAGTCGGCCGCGTGCGCGCGCACCCCGCACCCATGCCACGCACACCCACGCCCGCACGGGTGCCCACGGGCACACCCACCCGGCTGCATCTGCACGCACATACGGGCATCGGCGGGTAGATAAAAACGAACACAGGCTGCCCGCACGCACGCTTGCACACGCACACACACACGCCACCGCCCAGACCCTGACGTGCGTGTGCGTGTGCGTGTGTGTGTGCAGAGGCAATCTGTCTTAGATTTCCTGAAGCATGCAAAAGAAAATCTGGAAGATCCAGAGACCCACAGCTTAGAAGGGACCACGAGGAGATGGTAGTCCAGCTTCTTCCTTGGGGGCGGGCGGGAGGGGGGGCCGGTGGGGGGGCGGGGGGGGGGGGGGGGGGGGGGGGGGGGGGGGGGGGGGGGGGGGGCTGGGGGGGGGGGCGGGCAGGGGACCCCAGACACAGCACAAAAGGTTGTTTTGGTTGGCACCAATCGAACCTTGGTGGAGAGCTCCCGGGGCAGAGTGGAGGGGGCCGGCGTGGGGGTGGGGGTCCCCCTCTCTTCCCCCCACCCCTCCCCGTCCATCCGTGGCAGGGCCCCACGGGCACCGCGGGGAGCAGGCCGGGCGTCCAGGCCGACGAGAGCTGTGGTTAGCATGGCGTCCGGCGTCCACCCGGGCTGGGCAGGGCGGCCGGTGGCGGGCATTCATCCCCCTCCTCCTCCTCGGCGCTCCGCGGCCGCCCACCTGTGCTAACGCATCTTGTAGTCGTTAGATACAGATGTTTCGCACAGCTGGCCCTTAAAATCCAAGTCTACGGTGAAGTCGAGGTCCCGCTGCCAGGGGAGAGCAGGAGGGCGGGTGGGGCGCGGTGACCGTGGGGAAGAGGTCACAGCCCCCCCCCCGCTTCCCAGGTCAGGCAAGCACCCCCCCGGATGGGCATGAGCCCCCATTTGTTGGGAAACTCCTCAGCTGTCTCCCGATCCTTCCAGAAAGAGCTGAGCCAATCCTTCCCAGTTCATATTTAAAAAAAAAAAAAAGTTCCCTCCGGGCAGGTGCTGGTGGCGCACGCCTGTAATCCCGGCTACTCGGGAGGCTGAGATCGGAGCCTGGGAATCTTGTGCTAACCCCGCTAGGCTCTTCTGGGGACGAGGGGTGAGCTGTGACCTGCACACTGTTCTTAACCCGAAGCCAACGGTGCATCCCAAAGATGTCTGTCCACATCTGCCGAGACTCAGTCTCCCTTCTCTGCCTCTGGCCGGGTTTTGGGGTTTGGGACCTGGGGGGGGGTCGCCCACACCTAACATGGGACCCCTGCCCTTTGTTTGAGCCTGGGGAGTCTAAAAATTCACTTTTGACTTCTAGGCAACCACAACTCATCCCTCAATCAAGCCAGGCCCCCAGGTATTCCTTCTAGAAGGTTCTCTCTGGCCAGAAGGGCTTGGCAGCTGTCTTCTAGGCCATGTCTGGGGAGGAGGGACCTAGCGAAAGCCTCTTGTGGCTGGGTTGGAAGTCCGGTGGCCTCTGAACACAGCTACATTCCACCTCCCACAGAAACTTCTAGAACTTAGGTGGGGGAGTGGGGGGAGGCTTACCACGTTTTTGGCATTTGGTTTCATGGATATGGTCCCGTAGATCTCCTCCCCTCTCCGGACCGTGAGGTAGTCTTCCAAGTAGAAGACCGTCTGCTTCCAGTGTGTGTAGGGGGCGTCCGGGGCTACGGGGGGGAGCGAGAAGAAAAGTGGGGGGCTTCAGGAGCACCGGGAGGCGAGAAGGGAGAGACAGAGACAATGTCTGCGGACGCTGAGGCCCAGCGCAGACTCGCCCCCGCCCCGGCCCCCCCCCACCCCGGCACTGACTCCTCCTCCCCGCCCCCCATCCCAAACCCCTGGCACCTTACCCAGCCCGGCCCGGGGTCCCTGGGCATGAGGGAGGAAGAGGCCAGGCCAGGCCAGAGGCCGCGGGCTTACCTGTGGAGAACCCCATCTTCTTGTGGCACTTGGTAAACTCGATGTTGAAGTAGGTGACCAGCGCGTGCACGTAGTCATTACGCTGGATTTGGAGGCAGAAGGCAGAGGTGAACGACAGCTCTTCGGTCTTCACGGTGTAAATGTCCACCTCCTAGAGCCCACGCGGTGGCGGGGGGGGGGGACAACGCCAGAGTTTGATGCTCTCCACCAGCCCCAGCCCCAGCCGCGCCCACAGCCGCCACCCAAGCACCGTCCAAGCCGGGCGCCGGCCCTCACGCCTGTAAGCCAGGCCTCTCAGGAGGCTGAGACTTGAGGATCCCAATTCAAGGGCAGCCCAGGCAGATAAATCCAAGAGACGCTCGGATCTCACTGGAGCCAGCAAAACGCCAGAAGTGGCTCAAGTGGCGAGGGCCAGCTTTGAGCGCAAGAGCTAAGGACGAGAGTGTGAGGCCTGAGTTTAGGACCTGACAGGTACACACATTTTTGTTTTTCCGGTAGTGGGGCTTGAACTCAGGGTCTGGGCGCTGTCCCTCAGCTCTTCAGCTCAAGGCTGGCGCTCTACCACTTGAGCCACAGCGCCACTTTTGGTTTTCTGGTGGTTCATGGGAGATCAGAGTCTCACGGCCTTTCCTGCCCGGGCTGGCTTCGAACTGTGATCCTCAGGTCTCAGCCTCCTGGGTAGCTAGGATGACAGGTGTGAGCCACTGGTGCCTGGCTTAGGCACACACATTTAAAGCATCATCATCATCATCATCATCATCCTCAGCTTGGGTTCTACCAAGCCCAAGGGACTTGCCAGGCAGGTGTTCTACCCCTTGAACCAGGGCCCCGGTCCTTGTTTGTCTTGTGTGACTTTTGCCTGGACTGTGTGATGCTTCCACTTAGACCTGCAGGGTAGCTGGGACCACAGACCTGTGTGACCACCCCAGGCTTCTCCATTGAGATGGGGCAGGAGGGGGCTTGTCTTGAACTGCCAGCATTCCCGTCTCTGCCTCTCAGGTAGCCGGGATTGCAGGCGGGGGCCACGGGGCCCACCCTGGTTGCTAGGCTTTTGGGTTGTTTGTCTGTCCACGGTGCCTGAGCCCGTCTGGGTGCCCGCGGCCTTTTGAATGCGCAGGAGGCTGGAGATCTTGCTTTTCAGATTTCCAGCCACCAAAAGGCAGCCGTCCAGTCTCCTGTCGGCTGACTCTACCCGGTGGATCTGGGAGCCATTCGCATCTTTAGAGGGGTCTCTGGCTGGGCACCGGTGGCTCACGCCTGTCATCCGAGCTACTCAGGAGGCTGAGAGCTGAGGATCGAGGTTCAAAGCCAGCCCTGGGCAGGAAAGACCCTGAGACTCTGATCTCCAAGGAACCACCAGAACACCGGAAGTGGCGCTGTGGCTCAAATAGTGGAATACTAGCCTTGAGCTGAAGAGCTGAGGGACAGCGCCCAGGCCCTGAGTTCAGGCCCCACGGGGAGGGGGGGAGGGGAGGCGCGGGCGCAGCTCAGTGTGGCCAAAACCAAGCAACGCGGGAGCAGCAGGACGGGGGAGAGGACGGGCAGGGTCCTCACCCAGCCCCGCCCTCCCCACCCAGGCCACGCCCCCATACAGACCCCGCCCCGGTCCAGGCCACGCCCACCCAGGCCACACCCACGCCCCGCCCTCCTCGCCCAGGCCACACCCCCATACAGACCCCGCCCTCCC